CCAAAAAAAAACGACAGTGTTACCCCTTACGTTTTTTTTTTTGGGCGAAAAATTAAGTATCCCAATCTTCTGAAACTCTGCATTCTGATAGAGGGCCATCGAGACTTACACCTGAGTGCAAAAATGGAGGCTCTAGACCCTTCCAGAGCTGAGATATCGAAAATCAAAATTTCGACCAGAAAAAAAAAAAAAACGACAGTGTTACCCCTTACGTTTTTTTTTTGGGCGAAAAATTAAGTATCCCCAATCTTCTTGAAACTCTGCATTCTGATAGAGGGCCACGAGACTTACACCTGAGTGCAAAAATGGAGGCTCTAGACCTTCAGAGCTGAGATATCGAAAATCAAAATTTCGACCAGAAAAAAAAACGACAGTGGTTACCCCTTACGTTTTTTTTGGGGCGAAAAATTAAGTATCCCAATCTTCTTGAAACTCTGCATTCTGATAGAGGGCACGAGACTTACACCTGAGTGCAAAAATGGAGGCTCTAGACCCTTCCAGAGCTGAGATATCGAAAATCAAAATTTCGACCAGAAAAAAAAAACGACAGTGTTACCCCTTACGTTTTTTTTTTTGGCGAAAAATTAAGTTGTCCCCAATCTTCTTGAAACTCTGCATTCTGATAGAGGGCCACGAGACTTACACCTGAGTGCAAAAATGGAGGCTCTAGACCCTTCCAGAGCTGAGATATCGAAAATCAAAATTTCGACCAAAAAAAAACGACAGTGTTACCCCTTACTTTTTTTTTTTTGGGCGAAAATTAAGTATCCCCCAATCTTCTTGAAACTCTGCATTCTGATAGAGGGCCACGAGACTTACACCTGAGTGCAAAAATGGAGGCTCTAGACCTTCCAGAGCTGAGATATCGAAAATCAAAAATTCGACCAGAAAAAAAACGACAGTGTTACCCCTTACGTTTTTTTTTTTTTTGGGCGAAAAATTAAGTATCCCCAATCTTCTTGAAACTCTGCATTCTGATAGAGGGCCATGAGACTTACACCTGAGTGCAAAAAATGGAGGCTCTAGACCCTTCCAGAGCTGAGATATCGAAAATCAAAATTTCGACCAGAAAAAAAAAACGACAGTGTTACCCCTTACGTTTTTTTTTTTTGGGCGAAAAATTAAGTATCCCAATCTTCTTGAAACTCTGCATTCTGATAGAGGGCCACGAGACTTACACCTGAGTGCAAAAATGGAGGCTCTAGACCCTTCCAGAGCTGAGATATCGAAAATCAAAATTTCGACCAGAAAAAAAAAACGACAGTGTTACCCCTTACGTTTTTTTTTTTTGGCGAAAAATTAAGTATCCCCAATCTTCTTGAAACTCTGCATTCTGATAGAGGGCCATGAGACTTACACCTGAGTGCAAAAATGGAGGCTCTAGACCCTTCCAGAGCTGAGATATCGAAAATCAAAATTTCGACCAGAAAAAAAAACGACAGTGTTACCCCTTACGTTTTTTTTTTTTGGGGCGAAAAAATTAAGTATCCCCAATCTTCTTGAAACTCTGCATTCTGATAGAGGGCCATGAGACTTACACCTGAGTGCAAAAATGGAGGCTCTAGACCCTTCCAGAGCTGAGATATCGAAAATCAAAATTTCGACCAGAAAAAAAAACGACAGTGTTACCCCTTACGTTTTTTTTTTTGGGCGAAAAATTAAGTATCCCCAATCTTCTGAAACTCTGCATTCTGATAGAGGCCATGAGACTTACACCTGAGTGCAAAAATGGAGGCTCTAGACCCTTCCAGAGCTGAGATATCGAAAATCAAAATTTCGACCAGAAAAAAAAAACGACAGTGTTACCCTTACGTTTTTTTTTTTTGGGCGAAAAATTAAGTATCCCCCATCTTCTTGAAACTCTGCATTCTGATAGAGGGCCATGAGACTTACACCTGAGTGCAAAAATGGAGGCTCTAGACCCTTCCAGAGCTGAGATATCGAAAATCAAAATTTCGACCAGAAAAAAAAACGACAGTGTTACCCCTTACGTTTTTTTTTTTGGGCGAAAAATTAAGTATCCAATCTTCTTGAAACTCTGCATTCTGATAGAGGGCCACGAGACTTACACCTGAGTGCAAAAATGGAGGCTCTAGACCCTTCCAGAGCTGAGATATCGAAAATCAAAATTTCGACCAGAAAAAAAAACGACAGTGTTACCCCTTACGTTTTTTTTTTTTTGGGGGAAAAAATTAAGTATCCCCAATCTTCTTGAAACTCTGCATTCTGATAGAGGGCCATGAGACTTACACCTGAGTGCAAAAATGGAGGCTCTAGACCCTTCCAGAGCTGAGATATCGAAAATCAAAATTTCGACCAGAAAAAAAAACGACAGTGTTACCCCTTACGTTTTTTTTTTTTGGGCGAAAAAATAAGTATCCCCAATCTTCTTGAAACTCTGCATTCTGATAGAGGGCCATGAGACTTACACCTGAGTGCAAAAATGGAGGCTCTAGACCCTTCCAGAGCTGAGATATCGAAAATCAAAATTTCGACCAGAAAAAAAAACGACAGTGTTACCCCTTACGTTTTTTTTTTTTTGGGCGAAAAATTAAGTATCCCCAATCTTCTTGAAACTCTGCATTCTGATAGAGGGCCATGAGACTTACACCTGAGTGCAAAAATGGAGGCTCTAGACCCTTCCAGAGCTGAGATATCGAAAATCAAAATTTCGACCAGAAAAAAAACGACAGTGTTACCCCTTACGTTTTTTTTTTTGGGGGAAAAATTAAGTATCCCCAATCTTCTTGAAACTCTGCATTCTGATAGAGGGCCACGAGACTTACACCTGAGTGCAAAAATGGAGGCTCTAGACCCTTCCAGAGCTGAGATATCGAAAATCAAAATTTCGACCAGAAAAAAAAACGACAGTGTTACCCCTTACGTTTTTTTTTTTTTGGCGAAAAAATAAGTATCCCCAATCTTCTTGAAACTCTGCATTCTGATAGAGGGCCATGAGACTTACACCTGAGTGCAAAAATGGAGGCTCTAGACCCTTCCAGAGCTGAGATATCGAAAATCAAAATTTCGACCAGAAAAAAAAAACGACAGTGTTACCCCTTACGTTTTTTTTTTTTTGGGCGAAAAATTAAGTATCCCCAATCTTCTTGAAACTCTGCATTCTGATAGAGGGCCACGAGACTTACACCTGAGTGCAAAAATGGAGGCTCTAGACCCTTCCAGAGCTGAGATATCGAAAATCAAAATTTCGACCAGAAAAAAAAAACGACAGTGTTACCCCTTACGTTTTTTTTTTGGGGGGGAAAAATTAAGTATCCCCAATCTTCTTGAAACTCTGCATTCTGATAGAGGGCCACGAGACTTACACCTGAGTGCAAAAATGGAGGCTCTAGACCCTTCCAGAGCTGAGATATCGAAAATCAAAATTTCGACCAGAAAAAAAACGACAGTGTTACCCCTTACGTTTTTTTTTTTTTGGACGAAAAAATAAGTATCCCCAATCTTCTTGAAACTCTGCATTCTGATAGAGGGCCATGAGACTTACACCTGAGTGCAAAAATGGAGGCTCTAGACCCTTCCAGAGCTGAGATATCGAAAATCAAAATTTCGACCAGAAAAAAAAAACGACAGTGTTACCCCTTACGTTTTTTTTTTTTTGGGCGAAAAATTAAGTATCCCCAATCTTCTTGAAACTCTGCATTCTGATAGAGGGCCACGAGACTTACACCTGAGTGCAAAAATGGAGGCTCTAGACCCTTCCAGAGCTGAGATATCGAAAATCAAAATTTCGACCAGAAAAAAAAACGACAGTGTTACCCCTTACGTTTTTTTTTTTGGGGGGGAAAAATTAAGTATCCCCAATCTTCTTGAAACTCTGCATTCTGATAGAGGGCCACGAGACTTACACCTGAGTGCAAAAATGGAGGCTCTAGACCCTTCCAGAGCTGAGATATCGAAAATCAAAATTTCGACCAGAAAAAAAAACGACAGTGTTACCCCTTACGTTTTTTTTTTTTTTGGACGAAAAAATAAGTATCCCCAATCTTCTTGAAACTCTGCATTCTGATAGAGGGCCACGAGACTTACACCTGAGTGCAAAAATGGAGGCTCTAGACCCTTCCAGAGCCTTGATATTGAGATATTTATGATAGCATAAATGCCCTGAATAATATATTATGCCTTTACTTATTATGCCTGACTGAGCCTGGGTTCTCCCAAGGTTTTTTTTCTCCAGTCAATCACCTGATGGAGTTCTGGTTCCTTGCAACTGTTGGCTTGCTTTTGGCTTGCTTAGTCGGGGAAATTTAATATTCAACAATATTATTGACCTGTGTTGTATCACTTTCATGTTATCACTGTGAAGCAATTTGTATTGTACAAATCTATATCCATAATAGAATCTATAATATCTATATGTATAATAAAATTTATAATATGGCATTCATCAGGTCCAGATTTGTATCAACCTCTCATGGAGAATTTAGATGCCCCAACGCCTGTGATGAGAAGACCAACACCTTTGAAGAGATGACTCAATGCCGGCGATATATTATGCCCTTAATATTACATGACTAATTAAATGTATTTTTTCCATGTACTGTTCTGATATGCACTGTCTGTACAGCTGCTTTGAAACAATATGTATGTTAGCCAGAGGAGAACTGGCCCCTGTCTGAGCCTGGGTTCTCCCAAGGTTTTTTTCTCCATTCAATCACCTGATGGAGTTTTGGTTCCTTGCCACTGTTGCCTTGCTTTTGATCTGTGTTGTATTACTTTCATGTTATCAGTGTGAAGCTGCTTTGGTACAATTTGTATTGTATAAATTTACATCTATAATAAAATCCACAGAGTTGTCAAGGGGGGAAATGTAGAGAAAAAATAAAAAATAAAACTCAGTAAATAACACCAAGAAAAAAAATTACAACACAAAAAAAGACAACATTTTAAAAAGTTCTTTAATTTTTACAGTTTTTTTTTAACTTTATTTTTTACAAAAATACCACTTCAGCACTGACATCTTCCAGGCCCCCAGATCCTGAAATCATCAGAACATCTCCCTCCACAAGAACTGCCATAGCCAGAGAAAACTGCAGAGACACCTAAAAAAAAAAAATATAAAAAATAGCCACATGTCAAACGCACACTAGCAGCAACTACATTCTCACTGAGAAAAACACTGTAGACCAGAATCTGCACTGCTGGAACCATAGACACTCACCAACAACTGGAACGTCACAGAGCCGCTTGTGACTGCATCACCAGCCTTTGCTTTAACCGTCTGAAACCCATGAAGGACGATCACTCCTTTGGATAAGACCTGACAGAAAACAAACAAAATAACAAAACTGATGTCCACTCACCATGTAGATTGTCAGCGCTGTAGCTACCAGCCTCTCCAACAAGTGAATACTCCAGTCACTGGAAACAAAGCACCACATTTAAGCAGCTGATTGAGCGTCACTATAGTCTGATCACCAACCAATGGGTTGTCGGGAGAAGCTGACAACCGTTGTATCTATAGCCATAAAAAAAATAAATTAGCACTCGCCTGGGGAAGATCAAACTTAATCAGTTTCATGCTAGAGAAAAATCTTCATTTTTACAAAATACAAGTCTTACCACCAGATTCAGATCAGCCTTAAGATTAGCAGTGTTTGAGGGAGAACACAGCCCATCCATTCTGGTTTGTGGTTAGATTCAACAGCAGTTTGTTGGGCCAGTTGCTCCCCTCCAAGAGAAATACAGCTTTGTCAAGTCACGTAGATCTGTTAGGAAAGATCAAGGTAAGGAAAGGGAACCAATTTGAAGGCTTCTGCGATAAGGGATGACATTTTGCTTACCTTTCCATTAAGCATTGATCCAGGTTCAAAATAAGAAACCAGGAGGTCCACAAATGTGACTTTGCCGACTACAAACGCAAGGGACACAGTTTCAGATTGACATCATTATATCTGCGAGAGAAAATCCAAACAAACAGTGGAAAATATCAAACTTTGTGGCTTAAAGTGGAGGTCTTGTAAAGATCATAGAGATTATAAGGTTCAGATCAGCCAATACCTCACCTGTTCCCTCCTTTAGTAACATTCACAAGAAAGGTGTCTTCCATTTGGTGTTGAAAAACACTGACGCATCAACAGTCAGAGAGGCACTGCCCATGGCATTCATCTGGTAGGAGAACAAAGAGACTATTAAGTCAAGCATAGGCATAAGGAAAAACCTCAGCAGGAAGGCAGGAGTCACACACCTTTGCGGTTTGAGTCAGGCACTGTCTGGCCTGGTCAAATTATGGATCACAGCGCACTTCCACTAAGGCTTGACCAGGTACAGGTTGGCCATGTGTATATCTGGGAAACATCACAACAAGATAAAGAACTGACCAACCACAAGACAAGAAAATAAAGCATCACTCAACTTTCAGTCACGTCAAACCTTTCACCTCAAAAACTTGGGAGACTTCTCGGTCGGCAATAAAACCCAACTCCAGTCCTCATGACCCACTGCTCTGCATATTGTGCAGGTCTCCCTTATTTAGAGCTGAATCAGGTGTGTTAAATAAGGGAGACATACACAATATGCAGAGCAGTGGGTCATGAGGACTGGAGTTGAGAATCCCTGCTTTAGTGGGTACATACCCATCTTAAAACAAATTAACAGCTCAGAGAAAAATCTGCAAAGAAAGAAAAACGCAAAAAGCTGCATTGGCTCCATTCAAAGTCTTCCACCGAAGCAAACTCGCCTCCACCACGACCAGATTGTACTGCAAGAAAAACAGGAATAATAAACATTCAAAAGCAGTTGATATTTATGCATCTTTAAAGAACCTGCATTTAATTTGCTTTTCATTTATGGTCAGTAAACTCAAAATGGTGAAACATCTGGACTTACCATTTGATCAAAAGGCACAAATTTGGGATCCACAGAGACAACTCTGAAATTAACTGCAAAGATACCAACAAACTCACATATATTGCATAATGCATTTGAAGATGATAGCTTCAACCAAGGGTCATTCACAGCTCACCTGTTTGTCCTGGATTGTAAATAGGTTTGTCTGTTTGGATCTAGGTCAAGACAGGTTACGTCTGAACATGATTTTGCACTCTGAAGACCCTGAACTTCAACCTTCAGCTTCTGCACCAAATCTCCATCTACCCAAGGAGCCTGTAGAGAACTTCAGTTAACAAAAAAGAGCCACATGCATCTAATGTCAGTTACCTACAAAGGGCCACAAAGCTCACCAACAGCAGGAGCAGAGAGCAGTGAGTGAACAGATCTAAAACTAGGCTTTTTAAAGAGCCCAGCCAGCTGCAGCCACTGACGAGTAGGAGGAGTTTCAAGATCCAATCAGCCGTTGAATCACCAATCAGCTGCTGGAATGGTTACAGAAGCCATCTTATCTGTACCAGTTCTTTGGGCACGTAACAGGGTGAATAAACTCTGAGATTTAATGTTCAGAAATTATTAATAGAGATAGTGAAATGTGCACTGAGATGAGATATTGAGATCTCACGTAGCATTTATGCTAAATATCTCAATATCTCAGCTCTGGAAGGGTCTAGAGCCTCCATTTTTGCACGACAGTGGTACCCCTTTAGTTTTTGTTTTTTTTTTTGTGTGAAAAAAAGTTTCTCCAATCTTCTTGAAACTCTGGATTCTGATAGAGGGCCATGAGACTTACACCTGAGTGCAAAAATGGAGGCTCTAGACCCTTCCAGAGCTGAGATATTGAGATATTTATGCTGAGATATTGAGATATTTATAATGGCATAAATGCTACGTGGGATCTCAATATCTCAGCTCTGGAAGGGTCCCCATTTTGGCACTAAGGTCTAAGTCCCATGGCCCTCTATCAGAATCCAGAGTTTCAAGAAGATCAGAGAAACTCAAAATTTCGACTCCCCCAAAAAAACGACAGTGTAACCCCTGTCGTTTTTTTTTTTTTTTTTTTGTGCGAAAAAATAAGTTTCTCCAATCTTCTTGAAACTCTGGATTCTGATTGAACGGCAGTGTATGTATTCTTTCCCATGATTCTCTGTGCTGGAAGCTGTCTCTGCCACCTTAGTGACTGACATTTGATGTATCATGGATCAGGTGTGTGTGTGTCCTGTACAGGTGCTAACCCTCCCCGACCTGGAGGTTTCCCCAGTGCAAACAGTCCTGGACCCGTGGCAAACCTGTATGGCCCTTCCAGAGCTGAGATATTGAGATCCCACGTAGCATTTATGCCATTATAAATATCTCAATATATTTTTGGGTTTTCATAGAGGCAGATGAATGGCTTGTTTTAAGATACATTTCACCAAATTTATATTTTATTAACACAAGACAAATGAGTTCATCTGTAATATTAGTTGTGTGGTTTGGATATTTATGAGGTGATTTCCTGTAATATATTCTTTACGTCTCAGAATACAGTGTGCTTTTTTATGTTCTGTGGTTTTGTTGTGCCGTCTTCATTATAAATTTTAACATTTACATTGGTCGGTCAAAAAAACGATATACCATGGCTGTATGTGCGATTGTTGTGTTTTTATATTTCCGTTCCATAGTAAAAGGCAAACAATTTTTCAAACTGTATATTAGCATTTATTCACTTAAAGTCCTAAAACTTCACAACTGATGAACAAGCAGCCAAACTGCAATCCATGATGAACAGGTTAAAGGTTAAACCATAAATACAATATAAATGTACACACAATAATATATACAGCTTTACACAGCAAACCATAGTCAGTTTGTCATCAACCAATCAAGTACTTTATACCTACAATAAAAAAGCCAAATGAATTGAATGAATGGCACTATTTGAGAATACAAAACGGCAGCTCTGACTGTTTGGCAAAAGGTGAAAGTTCATGTATGGCACAAACAAGTTTAAGACACTTAAAAGAGGGTTTTTAGGCACCGTAGACTTAAAGGACCAAAAACAGCACCATATAAACTGGTCCCATGTTTAGGGTTATCATTCAAGGAATCTCCTTATAAAAATATTGAGAAATGGTTTTAAAAATAAATCTGTTTTAATAAATTGTTGAAAATATTTGAAACAAACAAGACCATCACTTTGCAATGCCGTAGCATCTTAGTAGTGGCGTTCACACACAAACTGTAGTGATGAATAGAGGTCCATATAAACGTGCTGTTCGTCATCCTGGGAAATACGCAGAAGCTGCGGGCGCTTTTACTCCAGCCGTGTTCAAAGGCTTAGGGACTTCTGCAGGTAGACGGCATTTAAATCAAATATAAAACGTATTAAATCTCCTCAAAAGTATATAAATAAGGAATAACAGGGTAAAATCTTTTTGGTCGCTTGCCTCTATTTAGATGCATGCTGGGTAGGAGACCGCGGAGAGGAATGCTGTCGTCTCGTCTCTCAAAGTACTTGGAGTCCAGACCTACAGGTTCTCCGCTGTTCAGATCAGAGATACAGCTCAGACACAAGGCTATATTAGAAATCAGGAAGTGAATTAATTAAAGAGGAACTCACTTCTCTTTATTTGACGGCTGGGCAGGTGTAGAGGGACTTACTTCTGCCGCTGAAGGTTTGCCACTCATAGGGTTAAACTGGACCTAAAATTTAGTTTAGAACATAATTTTTTTTGAGAAAATACTAATTTTCCTACGGAGGCGTATTGCATTCACTTGAAGAAAAAAATTTTTTTTTCCGAATTAACGGGTTAATTTTTCATGAGAAAAAAATATTTTTGCTCTGTTTTTCTGAATTAATGAGTTAATTTTTCATGAGAAAAAAAGTTTTTGCTCTGTTTTTCTGAATTAATGAGTTAATTTTTCATGAGAAAATTTTTTTTTGCTCTGTTTTTCTGAATTAATGAGTTAATTTTTCATGAGAAAAAAAGTTTTTGCTCTGTTTTTCTGAACTAATGGGTTAATTTTTCATGAGAAAAAAAATGAGTTAATTTTTCATGAGAAAAAAAACTTTTTGCTGTTTTTCCGAATTAACGGGTTAATTTTTCATGAGAAAAATTTTTTTTGCTCTGTTTTTCTGAATTAATGAGTTAATTTTTCATGAGAAAAAAGTTTTTGCTCTGTTTTTCTGAATTAATGAGTTAATTTTTCATGAGAAAAATTTTTTTTGCTCTGTTTTTCTGAATTAACGAGTTAATTTTTCATGAGAAAAAATTTTTTTGCTCTGTTTTTCTGAATTAATGAGTTAATTTTTCATGAGAAAAAAAGTTTTTGCTCTGTTTTTCTGAATTAACGAGTTAATTTTTCATGAGAAAAAATTTTTTTGCTCTGTTTTTCTGAATTAATGAGTTAATTTTTCATGAGAAAACAAGTTTTTGCTCTGTTTTTCTGAATTAATGAGTTAATTTTTCATGAGAAAAATTTTTTGCTCTGTTTTTTCTGAATTAACGAGTTAATTTTTCATGAGAAAAAATTTTTTTTTTTCTGCTGTTTTTCTGAATTAATGAGTTAATTTTTCATGAGAAAAAAAGTTTTTGCTCTGTTTTTCCGAATTAACGAGTTAATTTTTCATGAGAAAAAATTTTTTTGCTCTGTTTTTCTGAATTAATGAGTTAATTTTTCATGAGAAAAATTTTTTTTTGCTCTGTTTTTCTGAACTAATGGGTTAATTTTTCATGAGAAAAAAAATGAGTTAATTTTTCATGAGAAAAAAAACTTTTTGCTCTGTTTTTCAGAATTAACGAGTTAATTCAGAAAAACAGAGCAAAAAAAAAATCCATGAAAAATTAACTCGTTAATTCATTTTTTTCTTCAAGTGAATGCAATACGCCTCCGTATTTTCCATCCGCTCTGTTGCTATAATAAATATGCTACTTGCTAACATCATTATTGTAGCAACCCATGCAGTTAAAACAATATTTGGACTATAACAACCAAAAAACCAAAGTAAAAAAAACATAAGAATTATGTGAAGTGTGAACAGAGACTATAACAGAGAGTGCATGAAGGAAAAGATGGTATGAGAGAGAAGAGGAGACGAGGCCTGCCTTTGGTCCAGACGTCTGATTATGCAGGGTCAGGACAGAGCGAGTTCCTGAGCTCACACAGGAAAGAGGAAGAGGATATTTGGAGTTTATTGTGGAGGTGATGGGGAAAGCTTGTCCCAAAGACGAGGGGAAACCTTTGCTATCAAGCTAGAGAAGAAAAGAACGGCTACATCATTTCAAAAGACAAGTCCAATCTGACATGCAAACGATCAAACTGATGGTTACTGTATGATATCCAGCTGCATCAAGCAGACAAAAAACATGTTTGGTGGAATTCATGCTACATTTTCAGTGACGTGCGATTACCATATTGTGAGAGACACTTCCTGATCTCAGCCCTGCGGCAGGCGTCTCGAACATACCCAAAGTTTCCTGCTTCCGAGAGAGCTGGTTCTCATTCAGCTGCTTGTTCAGCCAAGTTATTACTACATGAATGCATAAGGATACGAAAGAAAAATAAGCTGAAAATTATTTAGTACATAAATTATATTCCATTAAAATGTTTTTATATGCAATAAAATAACACACACACACACATATATATACTGAACTAACCGTTCTCATTGGTTTTTAACACTTCCCTGCTCTCGTCCAGTTTCTGAATTGTAGCTTCCAATTGCTCCTTTAATCTTGTTGCCTAAAAACGACAAAGACTGTTGGTGAGAAGAAATGTTCTGGAACATGTGTTGGCAGCACGTGTGGCGTTGATGATACGGTACCTCTTCCTCTTTCTGTCGGAGCCGTTGTTGGGCGTCCTGCAGTTCTCGCTGCTCCCGTTGCAGTTTCTCTGTAGTTTCCTGCAGGATCTTTTCTTGAGACACGGTCACTGTGTTCTTCACCTTGATCTTCCCCACCAGAGCCTTCAGATCCCCCTGGAGCTTCTTGATGATGCCATTCGCCTGCAGTGGGAATTCAGGATTAATCCAACTGTATACACAGGGTTTCTGCAGGGTTTGATGAAGGTACATTTGAGACCTTTTTAAGTAAAGAAAATGTGAGTAATAAATCGAATGGAACACAATGTCAACATTTTCTCTAGTGGGTTCGTGGGATCTCAATATCTCAGCTCTGGAAGGGTCTAGAGCCTCCATTTTTGCACTCAGGTCTAAGTCCCATGACCCTATATCAGAATCCAGAGTTTCAAGAAGAATCTTCTTGAAGATATTATAATATTTCGAAGGGCAAAAACATGAACTTTAAACATTGGCTTTACTTCTTCAATCAGCTGTCAATTCAGCACAAGGGCAGTAGCATAGCATTAGCACCTCATCTCCACAGCTCCCACCTCTTTGCCCATTTTAATTTATCAGGTAGTGACGAGAGGTGACGCACTGCCTAGATGGCGACGGCCGGCCCCGCCCACTTTAGGCTTCAAAAACGCTCTTCGGAAACCTATGGGTGACATCACGGATACTACAAGTGCTGGTGTTCTCAGCATCGTCCGTCAAAATAAAAGTCCCGCTTCCAACATATCGGCCAATCAGAAAAACGTATCGGCCAATGCCGATATTTTAAACATGTCAAATATCGGCCGTGGCGATATATATCGGTCGCCCACTAGAACAAATAACTGCTTAATGGGCTCAGAAAAACTCAGTTTTGATAACTCACTGACAGATATTTGTTCTTGTTTTAAAACAAACTCACTTCATCTTGTTCAGTTTTTCCAAGACTACATTTGCATCTTAAGTGTATGTTGATTTAAAGTTGTTTAAATATTTGCATCTGAAAACAGGACAAAAATACTAGGAAGACAGTCTTTTTTTTTTTTTTTTTTGCAATGCATGCAACATTTCATGTCATCACTTTATGCATCTAAAACTTTCAGCTCTGATTTAAGACCTTTTTAGGGTAGTCATTTTGTGTAAGACTAGAAACCCTGCTACGAGTGATTCACAGTTAAATTCAGACGCAGACCTTGATGAGCTCCTCCGACAGGGATTTTACCGTGGCCTCCAGCTTGCCGATCTGAAGTTGCTTGCTTTCTGCATTTTCTTCAGCAGAGTTCTAGCAAACAAACAAAGAAAATAAATATAAAATGAATGCACATAAGGATCCGTTGGTATCAGATTTCCTCTCGGCAGAAATGTGCTCAGACCTTCTGCTGCTGTGTGGCTTCCAGCACCTCTCTGGTCCGCATCACGAGCTGGTCTTTATCTTTGATCTCCTGCTCTACGACAGCCACTCGCGTCTGCAGCTGGTTGACCAGACGCTCTCTCTCGTGGCATTCGGTGTCGAGGCTGCTGTTCTCCCTCCTCAGCGACAGAACCTGCTGCTTTGACCTCTGACACTCCTGGACAAACAACACAAGTTATGCCATCAGATTTTCTTGTGATTCACAGATTTCTTGTGACCATGTGCTTCTAGATAGATACCGCACCTCTTCCAGACTGGCCAGTTTGGCTTTGAGGTCTCGAATGCTGGAGTCGCTCTTGTACTTCTTGTCGGTGAGCTCCCTGTTGGCCGTTTCCAGCTCCGAGACTTTGGTTTGGAGCTGCTGGGTGCTTCTGCGATGAGACGACTCAAGTTCCTGTCTTAGCTGTTCAATCTGCTGCTGCAGACGCGCTTGTGTCTAATAACACAATTCAAAAATAACATCAGTCTCTTCTTTGAAGAGGTCAAATTAGAAGTTTTTAGCTTTAGCTTTCTTATAGAAACTGGACTTTACATTACTATATCTATAGTATTAATATATCTACACAAAGGTTTACTTCATCTTCAAGCATTTTATATACATATAAAACATTTTTTTTCGCAACTTATTGAAATGTTTTCCCCATATCAAGAAAATCTGTAGTGTATTCAGCAGTGATATGCCCATGTCAGATCACCTCCAGAGCATTTTCACGCTCCGCTGTGAGATCCTGCATGTGTCTGCTGGACAGAGACGTCGTTTGGGACGTCCATTCAGACCGCAGTTTGTCCAGCTCTCGACTTTTCTCAGACAGGGTCTGCAGGATAAACAATAATAATAAAGAAAAATCATAATTAGGTAATAAATAGTGAACTTTATCAATATAATATGATACAATCAAAATGGTTAATACATTATTATAATATAATTAATACTAATACTATACATACACATGTATATATAGCAGCTATACAGAAAATCACATTGATGATCTTTAGCATTTCTTAATATCTTCATGCCTGATATTCGCCTTTAGCAGATTAGAGAATATAGTGTATACGCAAGTTAAGTAGGATATACTATATATCAAATTTTTATACTATATTACCAGGCAATAATATACTGTAGTTGTTTTTTTTTTTTTGATGATGATGATGAAATATTACAAACAACGCGGGCAATAACAGTTTATATTTTTGCCCTTTTCATCAAAAAACTTATTTTATACTTTTTGATTAAATATAACAATCAAGCTGGGCAATAATACAGTTTATGTTTTTTTTGGACAAAATAGGTGATATAGTTTGTTTTTTGATGAAATATAACATTCAAGCTGGGCGATAAGGATGATAACCCTTTTTTAGACGATATAGGCAAAAGGGTAACATTTTTTGATGGAAAAGGGCGATGATATGTACGTTTTTTGACTCAACATAACAAATCATGCTGGGCGATAATATATTTTACGCTTTGTGACAAAATAGGTGATGATATAGTTTACATTTTTTACAAAATGGGTGATAATAGAATGTACATTTTTTTGACAAAAAGGGCAATAATATAGTTTGTTTTTTTACTAAATCAAAAGCAATCAAGCTGGGCAATAATATTGCTTTTGTTTTTGAAATGATAAATGATTTTTGGATGAAATGATAACGGTTTACATTTTTTGCCAATAAAACAATCAAGCAGTTGATATTTTATATAGTAGACACCGTTTAACGTGAGTGTACTGTATTTATCCAGGTAAGGTTGGACATACTTATAGTAGTTGTACAATTCATTTTTAAATATTAATATATTATGAATATTAAAGTGTTTGGTGAATGATACTGACTATTATCAAGCCTGTGAGGTTTTGCTCAATTTATACCAATTTGGTGGTTATATTATAAATAATACATATATTAATTAACTTTAGAGAAACCATCTTGAATTTGACTGACTTGCTGTGCATAATTTAGCTGTCTTGTCAGATCTTCCTCAGTCTTTCTCAACTTCTGTTCCAAAAGCTGCTTTTCCTCCTGAAAACAGATATATTAATGATGCTTTCATCCAAGCAAGCAGGATGAAGGATATAAACATAGTCAAAGTCCATGATGAAGATTATACTTTGACAGTAGACAGACACGTGGCCAGATACTTCTTAATATCCGTGTCAGATCCCGGGAGCAGTTTCAGAGAGAGATGTGTGAGGTGTTTAAAAGCGTTTGTCTCCACAATATTAAGGTTTGAAGGACCGTGGTCGAACGCTGATGAAGCTGACGTGAGCTGCAACAGGAACCTGAAAAGAAACAGTTCTTGTTACAACCAATACACATTAAGAAAAGTTTAATAATCAGATAATCTCTCACCGTGGGTTTTCTCTGTCCTGTTCACAGATGCACTGCTCAAGCAAGTCTATGAATTTCTGTGGGAATGATGTGAAATCTATTAAAAGCCCTTGTTGTACTTTTAAGCTGTGAAGGAAAGCAAATAATGATTATTACACTGAAAATCACACATTGAGTCAGATATTACTGTGCTGCTGACAGTAAATATGGATCATTATTTTATACAAAGATCAGAATACCTCTGAAAATCCTCTTCTGATATCACAAGATTGTATAAAAAGTAAAGATCAGTATCATCCGTCAACCGTACAATCAAATCCTGTTGATAAAACAAACAGAAAGACCTAAAACCAAATGCTTCACATTCATAAGTAATGATGTACAAATGCTAATTTCTCACCTTCCTGTGGACAGGATTTGATAATAGCTGCAGTTCAATACTGATGCGAATGACTGAACGTCTGTAATTTAAAACAGCATAATATGTAAACACATTTAGACCCGTAATAGTCTCCAAAAACAAAATACTGTAACATACATGACAGTTAAAGAAAAATAACCCCAAACACTCATTTTAGGTCTTATAATGTTCAAATAATATATACACACAACCACTACTAAGTTACCTCTCATCGGTATCTCTATTCTTCACCTGCACCTGTAGTCTCTTGTTAAAAAGTAATTCCGTCATTTTGAGTTCATGTAATAATCTAAAAATCGATAATAATCATCCAAAAAATAGCAGTTTTCCGTGTTTTTAAGTTGTTGACCGAGTCATTTGTTTCTTCGCGCTTCGCTCCCGCGTTTGTCCGTTTCTCACCGGATGTGATGGCTCTACCTCAACCTAATCACGCGTATTATCGGATTTCATCATATTTATTTTTTAACAACCGTAAAAGATACATATATTCAATTGAGGTTGTGTTTGATATATATTTGTGGGTGTTTAAGGCTGATCAAATAAAAAATCTTTTCTGTTTGACTTCACCGGCGCGTGTTGTGATTGGACGAGAGGCAGACGTCAAACGTCAACGCCGAGTGGGCGGGGCGTAGAGCAGTTTTGAACATGGCGGTGAGTAGTGCAAACGTTCCCACACCGTTCACTTTATAAAAGATTGTATGGTCGCATGGGTTTTATAAACAAACATGTAAGCACATAAATGTCTTGTGAATTCTGAAAGCTCGAACTGTACTCACTAGAGCCTGCTGGTTATTGTCAAATTGATGTGTTTTGTATTATTGAGGAGCTAAGCTACATAATAAGACACTGGGTCTGATTTATATTGCACACAGGTCTGTTATGTTATATAATATGTGTTTTTTATTTTTAGGATAAAGATAAGAAAAAGAAGGAGAGTATTTTTGATTTGTCGAAATACATCGACAAACATATAAGAGTAAAGTTCCAAGGAGGTCGTGAAGGTGAGACGGTTGCTTCATAAGATAAAATAGAGGTTTAAATAATTCATATATTATGCTTGACTAAATTACATTTACTTTAACATTCATTGTTTCCTATTTTCAGCAAGTGGTGTCTTAAAAGGATTCGACCCGCTGTTGAATCTTGTGTTGGATGGCACTATTGAATACATGCGAGGTAAAATCTCTTCATTTATTTTATTTATTACCTTTTTCTCAGGGGTTTTCAAACTGGGATCCATGTAAAAAATACATAATAAAAAATTAAGAGATTAACATAAACAAAGAATTACTGAAAAAATCACATAGATAATGTAACATATACTAAATATTTTCCTAAGAATATTTTACACACTATTTTTCATAGAATAAAATGGGTCATTATTATACAGTAGATAAAGCTGCAGTTCATAACTTTTTAGGGTTAAAAAATTATCCAAAATACATTTTTGAGCAAATACAACCAGCCAGTGTTCAACACTATCTGGTTGCCAATGCTGATGTTGTTAACATTAACAATTTGAGAACAAAGTATAATTTGCACGGTTTGACGTGATATGATTAGCGTTCGTTAGATTTAATCAGCACGATTTACTGCAATCCTTTTTTCCCTTAGTTGGTCAGAACAAAAGTGCATGTTTCTTACTTGTTCAGATGACAATTTCCAGCAGAAAATTCTTATGTTATGGATTGTTGTATATGTTTCCTAATCACATCCTGATGATTCTGTACAGATCCGGATGATCAGTACAAGCTGACCGAAGACACCAGGCAGCTCGGTCTGGTGGTTTGTCGAGGGACGTCCGTCGTGCTTATCTGTCCACAGGACGGGATGGAGGCCATTCCAAACCCTTTCGTTCAACAGCAGGATGGATAATATTCAGCCTTTTTTTTTTTCCACTTGCATTTTGTAGATGTCTGGTTAAAAAAATGAATACTTTTTGTTAGGTCTGAAATAATGAAAAATGTAACATTTTGTATTTAGACTCAGGATAAATTCGTTTTGTTTGTTTATGAATGTGTTAATGGTTTTGAATTATAAGGCATGTTTTCTGTTCATGAAAATAGGTGCGTAATACTGCCCTGGTTCTTTCAGTGTTGTTTTGCTACTGACGTTCATTTGGACCATAATAAACAAAGACTGTGCCTGTACCTCAAAGGGTGGACCCCACAGCTTTACCTATCCAGAAAGCTTTTGTACACACACATAAACAGTTGGACATTGTCAGGAAGCTTTCACAGAACATCATTTGTATAATATTTTGAAAGCCTTTGGTTTCAAGGCGCCTTGAGAAAACATTCTTGTTTGCTTTTGTGGCGTCCTCTACTCTGTTTTACATTTACAAAACTAATTCCTCAGATTAAAGACTCAGTCATGGACCCTTCCCTATTGGTGAGATTTCCCCTTGCTACTTTTGTTAAATTCAGGTAAAACAGCAGACCTACTTTCATACATAGGTGATCATGCAAGTTCCTAAAATCTTGCAAGGAAACAAGGGTTTTTCCACCCGTTTTGATGGCTATCAGATTGAGATGAGCAATTCATGCTTCTTAGCCCAGCCACAAAGACCTGCCTGTAACCTTTCTAGATTTACTTTAGGTGGGAAGCGGTATGTACATCAATATAGTCACTGGTTACAGTATAGTTTTCACTCTGATATTTAACGCAATACGTGTCAGGCTAATCAAGTTTTGTTGGTCCCTTCATTTGTGATGGTGGTTTTCTAGCAGTTATGAATGAAAGGCTGTGTGTCTTACCTTGCTGGTGCTCTTTTGAACAGCAGGACTTTCCAGATTTTATCAGTGCGCACTGGCACCCAAGTCTGGGCTTTATTGGGTAACACAGTTATAGTGGTTCAGGGTCTGTTAACTGATGGTTAACTTTAGAGGGGTCTGTAAGAGGAGCTGCTGTCTGAAGACGGGCCAACTCTTAATACTATTCCAGGTCAGTAGAAGTCTGAGGAGAGGTGGTCTGGTAAGCAAAGTTGCATTTCATTTTGCACGGCAGAATAAACCTAGGAGGTAAAAAAAAAAGATTACGTAAATATATATTCAATAAAAATTGCATCACAATCAATACATTAAAAAAAAAAGAGAAGCTACAAAAATACAATTGGAAAATATATAGATAAATAAAACATAAAAAGAAACAACTACTGGACAGGGAAAATACAGAATAACATTACGGCTTTTAGATAATGCCTAATAAATGCAGCATTTGTCGCTGGTAAAGGCTTTTAAGAAATTTGAAACTATTTGCCGTTTAAGCTTTTGGTTTGTTTTGGATTGAGTTTTTTTAACCCCTCCCAGGAACAACAGTCTATTATTTCTTTAAACCACTTAACTTTCTTAAAATGGTATTGTGAGAGATAATAGAGGATTAAAAAAAAAAATTATATTTATTGTAGCGCCGGCCAATCAAAGATCTCCCCCGCCCTCACCTGTGCAAAGCCACGCCCACATGCAAACCCCAAGCGCATAACAGCGCTGCATTCTATATTCTCAAAACGTGCGAGCGGTTTATTCGGACGTCAATGTAAAGATCAGATGCCTCAGTGACCAAATGCTGTCTGAAACGGTGAGTTACCATACATTCTATTCTATTCGTCCTAGAATTGTGCCAGAAGAATTTCACCCACAGTTTTAAGGCTCTTTGTATTTGTTTCTAGCTCCTCAGAAAAGTATTTGAACTGTTTGAATGTATTTTTGATCGTTAAAACGAAAATAATATTTTCTTTCATTATTTGACAGTATTATAACCATTTTTTATTTGATATGTTGCATTGGATTTGTGCATGGATAAACCATCATTATTTAGCAATGTAAGTTTCAATTGGCATAAAGCTACTAGTTTCCAGTATTCTTGTTTGTAATTGACCTGACGTAACATTAATTTAATAAATGTGAGTTTTAATAAGAATATATTGTTTTATTGTGCCAAACTGTTTGCCCATTTTATGTGATACCTTTGCATTGTTGTTGGCAAGCCTGTAAATAATAGTTTTGCACTTTGTATTGTTTGTTTATATGTTTTTATGTGCATATATTTAATTAGAGTTGTTGTTGCATTTACAAGCCTGAAGTGAAAAGTAACTTTATCCATACTCCCTGGAACCTCAGGCTTCATATTTCTGCGATATAGCATCTAAGAATCGACAGGTTTGTTTTGGCTTCTCTGAACCACTCCTAGTATTGTCTCGTTCTATGGCCGATGAAATAATACTTTGTCATCCCACGAGATGATTTTCACTCTCGGTACCCAAGGGAGATGCTAATATTTTTGATGTCATAAAAATCCAATCCTGTTTTTACCTGGTCACCTGTCTGTATTTCTTACCTCCATGTGTTCTTGTGTTTTACAGTTTGAATGTCCAGGTTGTGTTGCAGGTCTTTGTATAGACTGAAATGGAGAAGAAAGACTTGAATGAGTGGCCCGAGGGCGATTCACGGCCACCTTGCCTCTCTGCTTCCAAATGTATAACGTTAGCCGCAATACTCATTCTTCTCATCATTGGGGCTGCTGTGGGTTTTATGACAGGTTAATGAATTATTTGAGTATTTGTCAACCGAATCAAAATATTATGATATTGTTGGACACTTACACCAACCTTGTTTTTCCTGTTTAGCCTACTTAATACAAGAGGAACATTATTTCATGGAGACAGTGGAATTGCAAGGACTCGGTTATGATTCAGACCTGCTAGATAAAACATCAGGTTTCTCTGTAGTTCTGACCTCGACTCTGAAAACTAAAGTATGAACTATCCTTGTATGGAAATATTCACATTGTAGATGTAAAATTGGTTTTAATAGACATCCATTGCTGTCTTTATTTTACAGATCAAGAATATCTTTACAGCCTCTGCAGTGGCAAATCATTTTACTGACTGTCAGATAGTTGCCTATGGGTAGGTGCACTGCCTACATCCCATGTTTTAACTCTATAAAACAACGTGGGGAATTATGTCTGTATATATTTTGGTATTTGATTAAGAGTCTGTGATATCTTTCAGGAATATCAACTCAAACGTGATGGCCACTTTTCGTTTGGTCTTCCGGGTTTCTCAAGTCCAGGGCTACACGGAGCACTTCGTTCAAGACCTCCTTCGCACTGGATTTAAGGCCATGTTGAACGGGAAACCTATCATTGTCCCAGAATACGGAGAGATCAATAGCATCATCCTTCTTGGTATGCAGAATTCCTATAAAACCAATAATTAAGTCAATAATAGTGTCATTTTGACCGTTTTTTTGTTTTCTTTTTTCAGGGGCAAGTGGAAAGTCATTCTATGAGATTGGCAATGACATAAGTAAGCAGAATGTGATAATATTGTTGATCATATAAAGGTTAATTGAAAACTCAGATACTCAGATGTCTTTGTCTTTTACTGTAGGTAAATGTCCTGAAAACACGTTCACTTGTGACAGTGGCGAATGTATCACAAAGCCAAATCCAGAATGCGACTTTATAACCGACTGTGTTGATGGTTCAGATGAAGCCTTTTGCTGTAAGTGTCAACATTTTGCTATCATGAGTTATTATGCTAAGTTAGTTTCCCTTTTGTAAGTTTAAAGTTTAAAAACGCACATTTGACATATTAGTATCAAAATAGTATAAAGGTTTAAGAGAGGAACATGTAGTTTTAGTTGTGCTTGTTTATACAAACATCACAATTACTTAGGGTTTGTCTGTGATTTAAAATCACTTTGCATTAAGTTTGCATGATATTCTTACAGACATGAATGATACCTCTTAGGACTATTGCCTGACGGACAACAATACTAGCAAGAAAATCAATAGACTTCTATTAAAGAAGTACACAAGCTATATCTATGGACAAGCATGGAGCTATAAACCAGCCAGAGAACAACTTAGAAACCACCTTGACTTCCCTTTCAAATGAATAAAAATATGGCAACAGCACTAAAATAATCACAGAAACCTATTATTGTGGTGGCAAGCTGTGCAGCAAAGTCATGCCAGTCGGCCGCCATCTTGGCAATGCCTCCGGACAGCTATTTCTGACTAACAAGACCAGGCTCCTATCTAAATGAATGGGCAGAGACTCAGAACTGCACTTTCACTGGTCACCGGGGACATAAAAACCGCTTGTATAGAAACAGTAATAAAATATGATAAAAGCCGCTGGGGAGACTCCTGGAACTAACTATTTACACAACTAACACATATCAAATCTGCTGCCTTTTCAAACAGTAACATATTGCTGTCGTAAACCTCAACTGTGCGCATGCGTCGGTGGAACCAGACTATAAGCTTAAATGTTTCCCGGCTTGACTGTTAAAAGCAGACGATTGGCTTTCCAGTGGGAGGGGCGGGGCATGTGCATACAACGGCCATCTTTGGTGTTACAGGTTTTCCCCATATAGTTGTATTAAGGATTGAGGAAGAATGTCTCTATATAAATAGTCTCTGTGTGCAGTCATATTTTCTTCAGAAAAACCAGGCTTAATTTATGTTCTTTGATTGTTAACCATTGTTTCTCTTGTAGCCTGTGGAACACGTCCCGCCATGGCTAACCGTGTTGTGGGTGGTGAAAACACCCGTCACGGGGAGCTACCCTGGCAGGTCAGTCTCAGACTACGTGGCCGGCATACATGTGGTGCCTCCATCGTCAACAATCGCTGGCTTGTCAGTGCCGCTCATTGTTTTGAAACGTGAGGAAGCATTTCTGTAAGATCTTCATCAGTTTCTCATTAGGCACCAATGGTATATCTAAAAAATGTCTTTCTTGTATACCAAAGAGAAAACAACCCAAAAGATTGGACGGCTCTAGTGGGAGCCAATCTAGTCAGTGGGGTGGAGGGAGAAGCCACCATAGTAAACATCAAGTCCCTGGTCGTCTCTCCGGTCTATGATCCCGTGACCACTGACAGTGATGTGACCGTACTGGAGTTGGAAACGCCCTTGACGTTTAGTCATTATGTTCAGCCAATCTGTATCCCATCATCCTCTCACATTTTCAGTCCCGGGCAGAACTGCATCGTCTCTGGTTGGGGAGCTCTTACTCAGTACACCAGTGAGTATGTTTGATGTTGTGTAAAGCATCAGAATATACTTTAGCTTGAGTTTGATGAGTTTAACTTACCCCTAGTCTCATGTAGCCAGACCTTCAGACTGACAGCAGAAGGTCTGGACTCTATAGCAGCTTTCATTGAACAAGGACCGCCTAAGAGGATGTTTGACTGACATGTAGCGCAACCAATCACAGTTTGTTTTGTTCCCCATCATGTTTAGGGGCTTGAAAATGTAAATTCGATGTCCCTACAATAACAGACCAGCGCGCATCTAATAAATTATTAATTTAAGAATAATGTGCAAGTTTACTGTAACACTGGAGCTGCGAATTTCACGTACTTAAGCTTAGTAAAATCCAGTGTTTAGTTGAACCTGATAAGCGCTCATTGTACCAGTTGTTAACACGCCTGCGTTCTTCTTCCAATCGGGAGTTTGGCGTCACAAGATCTTGGTGTCTAGGCGGATTTAATTAATTAAAATTAAACCAATCAAATAATGATTTTGAAAATCCTGGAGTGTTACCAGTTAAGTGTGCCAGATGGATCAGACATTCACCCAGTGGTTCGTAGGCTTGGCGTATGAGGCTGAGACTACCTCACCTCTAAACTGCACCGAACTCAAAACAAACTGTGGTTGGTCACTTTAAATGTCAATCAGCTGCTCTTTTCTTGCTTATCTTGGTGGTTCTCGATCATAAGAAGCTGCTTCCATGAAGACCAGCCTTTTTGCCGAAAATCTGACAACCCCTTTTAAGACTACACCTCTTGTACGAGCAGGTGAGGTGCCTTCTACATTACAGAAGGCAATCGTGAAGATCATTGACTCCAAAGTCTGCAACAAGACATCTGTATACAGAGGTGCACTCACCCAAAATATGATGTGTGCTGGTTTTCTTCAAGGAAAGGTGGACTCTTGTCAGGTAAGGGTTATAGCATTAATGCCTGATGCCCTAAAAAGTGTTTTTACAATTGAATGTTTTAAATGTGTTTTTCGGCCTTCAGGGAGACTCTGGGGGCCCTCTGGTATGTGAGGTGGCCCCTGGGCGCTTTTTCCTCGCGGGCGTGGTGAGTTGGGGAGTGGGATGTGCACAGATCAACAAGCCTGGGGTTTATTCCCGCGTCACCAAACTCCGCAACTGGATTCTGGGCTACACCAAAAACACACCTACAGTCCAAGTCGCCCCCACTGACCCAAGTGTCACAACCACTGCGGTTCACCTTGTTAAAGCTATGAACAGATCCTCTGAGCTTGCTAGTGATGTAAATAATCCTGCGTCTGGGAACTGCAGTGGTAATTATAACTGTGGCGGAGACAAGTGCATCAGCAAGATAAACCCAGAATGTGACAGAGTCGTTGACTGCCCCAATGCGGTTGATGAGAAAAACTGTGGTAAATAATCTCTAATAATCTCGATCTCTACAACAGGGGTGCCCAATCCTGTATCTATCTGGAGGTCTAACGTCTTGGACAATTTGGCTCCAAAACCTAATCAAAAACACAACAACCAGATAAAACACATAATAATTACTAAGAGGTGTGTAGGAGCAGGGTTGAAACTGAGCTCTGCAGGAAGGCACATCCAGAGTCGATTCTAGGATTGGACACCCCTGCTTAACAACAATCCCTTTGGTTTGCACCCACATTAATGAAGTGTGGTTAACTAGCTAGCGTTGACCTTAGTCAGGGTAGGTGCCATATAGCTTGTTTTCACGTGACGTCACGCCACTGCGTTACCATGGCGCGAAATGCAAATGGAGGGCAGGAAGTAATTGGCTCTATATAGAAAGCACTATAACACACTCAAAACGCCTGTGTTTTGCGGCGTTTATCGTTACTTAGGCTACGTTCACACTGCAGGGCTTAATGCTCAATTCCGATTTTTTGCAAAAATTCAATTTTTTAGCAAGGCCGTTCACATTTCCAATTAAATGCGACCTTAGTGATCCCCTGTGTGAACGTGAAATGACCCAGAAGTGACCCGCATGCGCAGAAGAGTAATCAACGGTCAACGACGTCACTTGTTGTTTGCGGAATAGTTCTTTTTTTCCATATGTTGCGAGCTTTTGTTTTATTATTATTATTGCCATAGCCCATATACAAACACAGACAATAATTATTTTATCGACGGGCAAAGTTTGCACATAAATGTAAGATTTTTCCGATCCTCATCGACCTCGTCATAAAACCCATTTAATTGATAGTGCGTGTCCTCGGCGCTCCTTGCTTTGTCGCCGGCGGCCGCGGTGCAACACTGGTGGCTGGTGTTGCCAGATTGGGTGTTTTTTCGCTACATTTTAAGGCATGTTTACATGTGTTTTAGCCAGGTTTTCGCCTGGAAGGCTCTATAGAAATCTGGCACCCTACTGTACGAAGTTAAACTGACAGAGAGCGCACGTTCACAGACACCAGAATGAACGTGTTCACAGTAATGTTCATCAGGCAGTAATACAGTACGTTTATTTTGGGCGAACGTGAACTGTCACGTTCGCCCAAAATGTGAACGCATTCATGCACTATCGTTCATTGAACGCATTCAGGCACAACACTGGGGAAGAGACACGTCTGCAGCGGCCCATAACAATGCAGAAACGCGTTGGAGTTAGCGTGTATTGGCTAGCTACAGATGCGTGCAATGACGTGCGGGTCGGATATATGTGACCTGGCCGTTCAGATTGAAGTCGCATTTCAAAAGATTGGATACATATCGGATTTGGACCACATACCTAAGTGGCCTGGGTCGCATTTGAAAAGATCGGATCTTTGTCGTTCAGACTGTCCTGAAAAAATCAGATTCAGGTCGCATAGGGGCAAAAAAATCGGAATTAGGTCGTTTCAGCCTGCAGTGTGAACGTAGCCTTAAATCGATCAAACCACGAGGAGTTTTTATCGTGTACCTAAAGTTGTTGTTCATAAGGGGGGGAAATGCTAGAAATTGACCTAAAAACTCCTCAAAAATGGCTTGCAATTAAACTAGTCTGAGGGACAAGAATATAAGGGTCACCTGTTTACTTTGTAGACTGTGGGAGTCGTCCAGCCGTGGGACAAGGGAGGATTATCGGTGGCGTCTCTGCCCGTAGAGGTGAATGGCCATGGGTGGGCAGTCTGCAGTACCAACGCACTCACCGCTGTGGAGCTACGCTCATCCACTGCAAATGGCTCCTGACTGCTGCTCACTGCTTCAGAGGGTAGTGTACCACTGACTGGCGAGTTCCCAACATGCTCTAGTCTTAAAGAGTTGAACAGAAAAACAATTAGTGTTAATTTTGTGTTTTCGTCAATAGTGAGCTGAATACTGCTGGTTGGGCAGTAAGTCTTGGGTCAGTCATTTGGTCTGGAGTGGGAGCTCTGGTTATTCCAGCGCAAAGGATCATCTCTCATCCTGCTTTCAATAGCAGCACCATGGACTTTGACGTGGCATTGGTGGAGCTCTCCATCCCCGCCCCCAAGTCCTACACCATCCAGACTGTGTGTTTGCCCTCTCCCTGGCATAGTTTCATCAAAACTGTGGAATGCTACATCATTGGATGGGGCGCTGTAAAGGAGGACGGTGAGTTTGGGGTTGGTCAAGGTGACAAGATACAACCTAGACGAGTAGTTTTTGACATCGTGCTCACACTAGATGTTCTGGTGTGGACTCGATTGAACTTAGTCATGTGAAAGCTGTCTTCCATGCTGAAGAGTCCACCATAGCCCCTTTTCCACCAGAGCATTTTGAGAGCCGGTGCTTGCGCGCAGTTGTTTGTGTTTCGACAGCCAAAGAACCGGTTCTCGGCCAGGAGAACTGGTTCCAAAGCGGCACCAACTCTTTGCTGGACTAGAACCGTTCTTTTACCACGTCATGCTTACGTTGGGGGTTGGGGCGGGTTTAGGTGTGTCCTAAACTTCTTTTCTGACCATAATAAAGGATCGCAAAGCCAAGAGAAACATTTGCAGAAACACGATGGAGTCCGCCTTTCTAATTGTTATTCTTGAAGTTAACACAAGCGTTTCTATTTTTGTATTTTTTTTATTGAAGACATTATAAGCAAAGAAGAAAAGTCACAATATAGAACAAATAAACGGAAAGAAAAAAAGACACAATTACAGGGGTATATAACTTAACAGAAAAAAATACATATCAAACGAAAAGATTAAAAGACTTACATATTTCAATTGTTTTAAAGCGTTCTTGGTATACGATTTAGAGATAATCCGAAAGTAATGTTGTATTTGCAAGCGTTTCTAGCTAAGACGTATGGCGACGTACACAGTGACGTAACGACGTCGTTCCCTGGGAGCTCTAGTCAGTGGAAAAACAAACAGGTTCTGAATCGGTTCGCAAGTTGAACCAACTCCGAACCAGCACCAGTTCCGAACCAGTTCTTTTTTTGGTGGAAAAGGGGTGCATGTGTTTCCCCTGTTTAGGAAGGGGTCTGGGATTTGACTCACGTGAGCTGTAACACATTTAGTGATTAATGTAAACGCAATCCGAAAATGAAATGCTATTATGAATATTTTGCGGAAATTATCAGCCTATGAATGTTGACCATTCCTAGAATGGGCATGGAGAGACGACCGAATTAGGATCAAGTGTGAAAACGACATAAAAAAAAGATCTTCTAGACTTCTTCTACATTAAAGATATGGATATAGTAGTTGTGGACTGCATTTGATTAATAGGATCCATTATGACGTATGGTCTGTTTATCCCACATAGGTATGATAACCAATTTGCTGCAAAAAGCACAGGTTAGTGTCTTTGATCGGCGGGACTGCCAGCGAGCTTATGGGGGCGGATTTACCGACAACATGATGTGTGCTGGCTCTGTGGAGGGGAACAGGGACACATGTTTGGTAAGTTTGTGAGAATTTTAAGGGTTTCTGAATGATACCGTCCGAAAAATTCAACAGTTGCACAGGAGTAGCATAAATCTGAACGCCTTCTTCTGAAGCACAGCTGCACTTACCTGATGATACTTAATGCTCTAAGACTTCAGTTTTTTTACCTTAAAACATCCACCGTGCCTCTTAAGCTGATTATGTAACACGGCCCAATGTAATTCAACCATATCCTTGAGTTTTCAGCAACTTCTTTAAATGTCATACCTTCCATAAAACACTTTTCTTCTTCTGCAGGGAGACTCAGGGGGCCCTCTGGTGTGCCGGGAACCCCAGGGCCGTTGGTTCCTGGCCGGGGTGACCAGCTGGGGTTACGGCTGTGGTCGAATTGGCTTCCCCGGAGTTTACATGCAGGTCACGTCAATCAGAGAATGGATATCTATATACCTCCCTTTTTAAAAATATGATCCAGAAATGTCCTCCACTAATTGTCTCACAACTGAAGATGCATGAAACTCAAAAGGATGACTTTCAATCTACTGTCAAAATATTTATTTTATTTAACATTGCATTCTGGTGTACGATGCACTAGCCCTTGAAATGCGTTTAGGAATAAAAACCATAAGGTCTCCATGAAATCTGCAGATTTGTATGCAATTCTGCCCTGATTTTGGGGGGGAAAAGCTCCAATTCAGCAGGTTGCAGATCCCGTGTGGGCCTAAGCATAACCAAAATGGCTTAGGAATATGTACAAATAATGATCAATGAGAAGTGGTTGTCACTTCAGATGGAAGACAATCAAATATGGCAACATTTGCTTGCCTTAAGTTTTCCCCCTTCTCATTTCACCAGCAGAATTTATATTCCTGTAATGGAAAATGTGGGAATAATATCAGAAAATATGGGAAATTTGAAACTTTGAAATGTTTTGCAAGCACATGGTCCCGTTGAACATAAGTGTATTCTTGTGTTACTAAGACTTCAGTACAAAACTCTGTGCCATTAAACATGATTATTTTCAACTGTTGTTCCGCCATGGCAGTCCTTGACCAGGCTGTTGTGAAAATGACGAAATGAGAAAGCAAAATCTAAGTTCATGTACTTGATTAGTATTAGTGTTTCAGGCCTAATTTGTACAAATGGTGCTACATCTCTTATTCTGATATTTCATCATTGCAACAAAAACATCAATAAAATCTGACTGACTTGATGGTATTTATTTGCATTCCATTAAAACAGCACAACATCTGTCTGGACATGTCTTGGTGGAGTTTGCATCTCTGTCCAAGCCTTCACACAACTCAATGAAGCAAAGGAAATTGGGAACACGGTTGTACACAAAGGGAACTGCTTTTACAAGGGTGTGTAGTTTAGTGTCTAAACAACCCTACTACTGTACTTAACAGACAATGAGACAAATGACACTCCAGTGTCGACAATTGCAGTTTGTTCTTCAGAGGTAAGTTAGAAGCACTATTCGGCCGATCCTGGTGAAGAAGTGACAATTCTTGCAACAAAGACGCCCCTGAATTCTTCCCCTCTGGGAGAAGAGATAGGCTTGTGGAACAGAGGTGGTAAAGTGAGCCGTTCCCTCAGGGAATGGAGTAACATCCACCCCAAGACAAAAGGAAGACAGATGGCACATTGAATTTTGATTGGCTGCTTGATGAATGGATAACAGCATAAGGGGAGGTGTCCGATTTTTAGCATTGTTTTTAAACATGAGACCCACGAGCGGGAACTGGATACCAAAATCCAGACCCGCTTCTTGTTATCCCAATTCTGAGAACTGCTACTAGAATTATCAATCCTTTAATTTGAACTTAAAAATGATTAAACAGCTATTTTATGTCTTGTATTATCATTTTAACATGGTTTGAAAACAAAACGTAATGAAAAATGTCCTTGTAGAGTCTAAATCCAGCCACCTGGTTCCTTCTGTAGCCATCAGTTGTTGTTGCGTGCCAAGTCTGTGCACTCGTCGTGCATTTGGAGACCAGGCATCTAGACCTGAGGACTCAGGTGACACCGAGGTAGTACCGGCCACCATCTGCACATCAAATGCGTGCCCTTTCCCTCTGTAATCTGGAATTATATGCGCGGGAGACCGTGTTCCACGCATCCATGTAGCGGTCCATGCACATGGCAATACATTTCTGGAAAAAAACGAAAGGGTTATGCATGGGTCTAGATGTTATTTCCTCAAACTGCGGTATAGGATGCAGTGTTGTAGTACTCGAGACTCGGACTCGGTCTCGAGACCATATTTTAATGGTCTTGGTCTTGTCATGGACTCGTGTGCATTTGGACTCGGTATCGACTCATACTCGAACATTTTTTTTTAGGACTCGGACTTATTCCCGAGTCCACTCGAGTTCAATTCAAAAATATTTTTCATGATTATTAATGTACGTTAATAAAATATTTCTTTAAATTGATTGACACACCCAGTGATTGGTGATTTTCTAGTGTGCAACTGCGCATGACAAATTGTAATAACATTACTTTTAACACCACCTACTATGTGGCCTTTTTACCCTAAACTGATCATATTTTTTAAACTCTAAGTAAATTTAAAAGTATATTTGGTAATCAACCCTCACTGGTCTCGGTCTCGACTCGGACTCAACTGTCTCTGGTCTCGGACTCGACTCTCTATGGACTCGGTCTTGACTCGGACTCGACTCTCTCTGGTCTCGGTCTCGACTCGGACTCGAGTGAGGTGGTCTCGACTACAACACTGATAGGATGTCCTGCTCATACCTGTTCAGAGTTGTCCAATGAGCTTCCTGGTTTGCCAATGCATTTCTTGAAGCATTTATCCGTCATTCTCTGCAATGAACGCCAAATGGCATTAGGAATGCATGGAATAATTCTATTTTGGTACTTTTTGTAACTGGATACCTTATAAGAAGGTACTGTGGGAGTATCATATACTGAAAAGGACTTTGAAACAAGTAATTGCGAAAAAAAATTGACCAATAAATACACAGAAACAGCGAGCAACACAATTAATGAAACAAGACATTTTAAAAACAGTATTTTCATATAAAACTTCTTATTTACCACTTTGGAAAAACAAATATTTTTATAGTAAACGGCATGGATGGTAATGTTGGAAATCCTTTGACATACATCACTGTGCCACAGTACTTTGGTATATCATGGTACTTCTAAGATTATCCTTGGTAGTCGCATGGTACATACTAACTCAAAAATACAATTTTACCATAGTACAGAGAAAGCCTGAAAAAGCCAAAAAATAACTGGAGTACCATGGTACATTGGTCCATGGTTTACAATACCAAGGTAATTTTACTAAAAGGTATTCTTTTTGGTAAGCGTATATGGTGATGATAACAGATTGTCTTTTTACTTTGCTATAACACTGTGCTTATGATCACCACTGATAGAGTAACTTAATCCATTTATTCAGCATCATGTAATGACAAAATCTATCCAACACAAGCCTCTTATATACATACGTATTAATTTTAGGAAGCACAATGAGATTAATTATAGGAGTATTTATGTAGGGATAATTTAAATCAGCATTTAACATCTTAAGAGTTAAAGTCACTAACCTGCAGCAGCTCTTGAGCGTTCGCAACGGCAATCTGAACTTTGACCTGCTCCATGATAGTGCCAGTGTCCATTTTACCAGAAGATGAGCCCGAAGAGAAATCAGAACCAAAACTGTCCATTTTACACAATTATAGATCTAATAACAGTGACACACCGTTTACACCGTTTACATGTGATAATTTTGCCCTTGAGATGAACCGGAAGCGCTGCGGAAAACATCCTGACTGTTGACTTCTGGGAAATGTAGTTTTTAATGACAACAAAAACACATAAGATCATGATAACGTGATGATTTTTAAACATCAAGAACAACTACATTAGCCTATCATGATGTTGCCTGTCATTAGCACAAATTCAGATTTCATAAGGATTTATCGCTTTTGATTTAACACACCATTTTGCAGTTTTCAAAAAGCCAACAAAATAACATTAATATGGAATATATATATTAAATGGATATATATATATATATATATATATATATATATATATATATATATATATATATATATATATATATATATATATATATATTAAAGTTTGCTATTTCTGCTTCTGGTATTTAAATCCTTTTTTTTTTTTTTTTTAAATAACGAGTTGTGTTTTCTATACGACAATTCACCATGACGTCACAACAATAAAAGACGTTCTTCCGGGTGGCAAAAGCCGAAGCGTCCCTATGGCAACACTAGTAAATTGCATGGAGAGAGACACACCGCCGGCAGAAGCCTAATCTACATTTCAACAGTTGATTCAAGAACAGACGTGGTGGAAATTCAGACATAGTTAACATGATCATTAAAGCTTAGATTCTCTGATCTAGAGACGTGCACTCCCAACACACTAGACCGCGGCGCGGGACTAGATCTGATGGCCGAGTGCGGGCGGTAATGCACTCTGTGTGTGCGGATTGCAGGAGAATAAAACGATTCGCGGGACTCCCGCAAACTAGAAATATCTATGAATAAAACAAATAAAAACTAATACATTTGTATTCATCTGTTGCAGAAAAGCAACAAGAACAACTAAAACAAAATAGAAATGACTTACATGGCAGAGTTTCTTTTTAGAACGTGACTGCAGCGATGGGCGATGTAGCCAATCACAGACATATGTGTTGATTTATTGAACGCATTGGCCAATCAGAAGCATTTACGATGAAGAAGCATTTACTCACAGTTCAAAAGAAAGTAACATAGAAAGTAATAGAAATAACTAAGTTAGTTGAGAACGTCAGTTATATAACGACCCACGTATTAAAATGGTTGGATTTAAATCGGGCTCAAGCTCATAATTAGAAGACGACATGCACTTTTGACGACGTCCACTCGCTTTAACCTCCTCACCCACAGGTTCTGCTGGATAGATTTACTTTTTTCTGAAGGAAATCGATAAAAAACCTACACCTTTTGCTGTATATCTGGTGGCGCAACCCCAAACACAACATATTTTCGCCATAGATTCAACTTTGATCAACATCAATGATTTTAACTGTGTAACTGTTCAGTTGCCGGCTGGATCTCTTCAGTTAGTCAATGGAAGCCGTTCGCGTTCTGCCACCCGGAAGTACCGCGGTGCCTATTGTTTACAAACATTCTGAAATGCCCTATGGGTTCAGCTTTATTGCAATATGAGTTCTGTCCAGTAGGTGCCGCTACATTCCACCAGATATTACTGCAGAGAAATTAGTTTATCATTTGTTTTTCAGTTTTTTAAATAAATCAATAAACCAATCAGTACATCAATAAATAAGTGATAATATATTAATATTGGAGGTATTTTATAATATAATATAATATAATATAATATACCAAGTTAAAAATGTCAAACCAGCCAGAAGGATTTTGTTTTGAAAGTCAGATATAATTGGTTGGTGTTGAGGACTGTATAAACAGGGCATTGACACAGTAACGGCTGTTTAAGCTCTAATAACTCTATTAGATATGAGCAAGTTTTGGCTGAGTGAAGATGAATGAGTGTTGGCAGGGGGTCTGACAGTAATTAACAGTCACACAGTAGGCTACAGTAAGTCTACACTCACAGTAATACACTGATGAAGTTTGTACAACAACCGTTCAGGACAAATTAAACATGCAAAGAAAAACATCATGCGCTTCCTGTTGGCATAACTGTGTTGGAATGAAAACATTGTGGATTGATACTAAATACCCCAATGAAAGAGGCTCAATAAACATGAATCTGGAGGCATCATGGTACAGCAATGGTTTAAAGTGGTAAAGCCAAAAAAAACCGTACTGATTTTTTTTAAGTAAACATTATTATTGTAATTATTTTAGCCTTCCTTGTAGTGGTACTGTATTTAAAATCTCATTATTTTTGACCCAAACAAAAAGGCTTTGTTAAAAAAAAGGCACGTTTACATAAGTAATTGAAGAGAGGCAGATTTCTTTCCGTAAACTAAAGAGAGACTGTAAATAGTTTAGGCATAACTGCAATATGACCTTCTTAAGAAGAAAGAGATAGTGTTGTTGCTATCTGTGGAGGCTTACATAGTTTTCCTATCATTCACAATCTCAAACATGAAAAACATGTGTCTCAATATCAATGCATCACATTCATACACACCAAATGCTCACTAATTATCCAAAACACGTCTCATTACTAGAAATAAAATATGTCCTAAGATCACCTCCTCCGCCAGGGTTGGACATTTAACATGCGAGAAGAGGAGGAGCGACTGAGATCCACACTACACACTCACTCACTCACTGATTCTCGAGTCACAGTAGTAATGTTCCACAGCGTGTAACAGGCGGATCTCACAGACTTCAGACTGATCCCATCAAGAGAAATGTTACTACTGAAATCGTTCAAGACGTCTTAAAGTTACTCGAATGCATAGCCTACTGTTCAAGTCCGCGCGACGAATAAGGTAAATTCATGCAACTTTTTTCATACTTGGTTATACGACAGACACAATATTTCAATATTTAAGCGTGTAGTAGCATTGATTGTATTTGGACCGCTCAGTAGATTTGTGTGTTGAAATCCTGTCACTTTAACATTAAATATTTAAATGCGTTGCGAAATAGGTTACTGCAAACGTCATGTTCATTTCTTCATGTAAAGGTTTTTTTTTTTTTTTTTTTTGGCAAAAAATGCACGTGTTGCCGTAGTTGACCACTGCAGTTATCGTTACTGTAAAACCACGGTTCGTATTCATAGGAAATTTTCATATATTAATATTTTCTCATGACAATATTTCTAATAACAAAAAAACAAAACAAAAAACATAGTAGTACAAAGTAAACAAAGTCATTGGTATCTTGGTTGATCTATCTTCGGATAGCTTCAAATAACATTTTGGTGTCTATTTAAAGGTTTTTTATTTTTTAAAGATTTGGTCGCTTATGTGAGCAGTCTAATATCAATAATTATTAAAATACAACAAACACATGACAATATCATTTATTTAAAAGTGGTGTAGTAGTCATTTTAGTTCACTGTTGTACTATTGTTAGACAATTAATTTTCATTCTTCCATGCAATTTATTACTGTTTTATGCATAACTGAAATTATGAAATTATGGCTAAGAGCAGTAACTTTATCTGAGATCAAAGAGGAAGGCGATGATTCATTTCCTATAAATCATTAACTCTTGTACTGAACAATCTCAAGGTAAAAGAAATGCTGTTTAACAAACAATTATGGGTTTACTGCCGTCCAAGGGTACGTTTGGTTCCAAGTGTAATTGCCCTAACTATGATGTATCCACCATCTAATTATATGTTAAGGTTTTTTAAACACTGCTGAACAATAGGCCTTCCGAGTAATATCAAATGAATGTCCATAGATGATAATGGAAATCTGAAAGGAAATGGTTTTAAAAAAATTCTTCTTTTTTCTTTCTTTTATCCAGTTCAAAGATGTCTGTCAGTAATCACGAGAACCGAAAGTCAAGGTCAAGCTCTGGGTCCATGAACATCCATCTTTTCCACAAAACGTCACATCCAGACAGCCTGCTTACCCACCTCAATCTCCTCCGCAAGCGACATGTCTTCACGGATGTAGTCCTGCGTGCTGGACATCGAGCATTCCCATGCCACCGGGTGGTTCTGGCATCATGTAGCCGCTATTTTGAGGCCATGTTTAGCGGTGGCCTGAAGGAGAGCCGAGACGCCGAGGTCAACTTCCACGACTCTTTGCACCCGGAGGTTCTGGAGCTCCTGCTTGACTATGCCTACTCCGCCCGTGTGATCATCAACGAGGAAAACGCAGAGTCTTTGCTGGAGGCTGGCGACATGCTCCAGTTCCATGACATCCGCGATGCCTCTGCAGAATTCCTGGAGAAGAACCTGCATCCGTCCAACTGTCTTGGGATGATGCTTCTGTCCGACGCTCATCAGTGCCAGAGGTTGTACGAACTTTCTTGGCGGATGTGCCTGGCAAATTTCGCCAATCTCTACCACACTGAGGACTTCTTAAGCCTGCCCAAACAGAAAGTTCAGGAGCTTGTTTTTAGCGAGGAGTTGGAGGTTGAGGATGAAAGCATCGTGTACGAGGCTGTTATTGATTGGGTTAGAGCAGACATTGGGAGAAGACATCTGGATCTTCCCGACCTTCTGCGGTGTGTTCGCCTCGCTCTACTTCCGGAGTCCTACCTGCTAAAGAATGTGGCGTCCGAGGAGCTCGTCATGGGACACAAGGTGGGTCGTGAGATTGTAGAAGACGCTGTCCGTTGCAAAATGAAGATCCTGCAGAACGACGGAGTTGTCACAGGTTTCTGCGCCCAACCCCGGAAGGTCAGCCAAGCCCTCCTGCTTCTAGGAGGCCAAACGTTCATGTGCGACAAAGTGTACATGATTGATCACAAGGCGAAAGAGATCAACCCCAAAACGGACATTCCTAGCCCTCGCAAAGAGTGTAGTGCTTGCGCGATCGGCTGTAAAGTTTATGTCACGGGTGGTCGAGGGTCTGAAAACGGGTCTTCAAAAGACGTTTGGGTCTATGACACATTGCACGACGAATGGTCCAAAGCCGCACCGATGCTCGTCGCTAGATTTGGACATGGTTCAGCAGAACTTGACCACATCCTCTATGTAGTAGGTGGACACACATCCCTTGCTGGGTCGTTCCCTGCATCCCCGTCTGTGTCCCTGAAACAAGTGGAGCAGTACAACCCCCAATCCAACAAGTGGACACTGGTAGCACCTCTTCGAGAGGGTGTGAGCAATGCTGCTGTCGTAGGGGCCAAAAACAAACTCTTTGCTTTCGGAGGGACTAGTGTCAACAGGGACAAGTATCCTAAGGTTCAGTGCTTCGACCCCTGTGAGAACAGGTGGACTGTCCCGGCCACTTGTCCTCAGCTTTGGCGTTACACAGCGGCAGCCGTTGTTGGGAACCACGTTGTGGTCATCGGTGGAGATACTGAGTTCTCTGCGAGCTCCGCGTACCGCTTCAATAGCGAGACGTTCCAGTGGACCAAGTTTGGTGACGTGACTTCAAGGAGAATCAGCTGTCATGCAGTGGCGTCAGGGAATCGCCTGTATGTGGTCGGGGGATACTTTGGAGCACAGAGGTGTAAAACCTTGGACTGCTATGACCCCTCAACGGACTCTTGGGATAGCATAACAAGCATACCGTATTCGCTTATCCCAACAGCTTTTGTCAGCACCTGGAAGTACCTCCCATCTTGAAGACAAATACTACTCCTATTTGGTGAGTATTGTCCAATGTCACGGTCCTTGACCAAGTGACAACATTTGCGTTGTATACATCTGCCCAGTCATATCTATAAAGCAGTAATTTTGTTTGTCGATGAGAAATGTCTATCCGTAATTAGTGCTGTTGGAAGTCAAATAAAGATGACATGTTTCTTAATAGTTTTAAGGAATGTGGCAGCACAAATTACCGAGTAAAACACGTCTCTCTGGGGCGTACAAGCTTTCCTAAATGCTTCCAGCAAGAACAGGATCAGGTTCATTCTTGCAGTTCTGCCAATGGCGAGGCCTGTACCACTTTTTTGCACATTGCTCCACTGAAAAAAAAGTGTATGGTCTTGCTTCCTTGGATTGTTTACAAAGCCTCTGTCTTTTCTTTATATAAACGTCAGGGCTTATTGTTCTCACAAGTGTACACAGTAGCCAGACAGATAACAAACTCAAATAATCATTGATGTTTAGAGAAGGCGTGTTTATTTGAGATAGGTGTGTAATGTTTGGCATGAAGATTCAAGGAAGGAGACTGGAGCCATTCAACTTGTCAAGTGACCCTGCTCTTTATCTGTTGTAAAACAGCAAGAATTTTTGTAGTGCTAAAAACTCGTCTTGTTTTGCACTCGCGGCTTGTTGAGCTCAGCGCTCACTTAATGGAAGGACGCCTAGAGGAACTGCTGTTTGCCCTTCCTCAATAATAAACAGATGGTTTGGGTGGAGACGGGCAGAATAGAGCCTCCAAGGCCTCAGATCTGCACGGCTGCAGCTGACAAGTCTCTTTTATCCTTCTTTGAGTGCAAACGTTGCAGTTCCAGCTCTTTTGAAAATCACTAATTCACCATTGAATTTTGCGCAGAGTGGCCTTGTCAGAAATGCTGGGGTGAGGCATGCATGTGGAATAGGGTGCAGCTATACTTTGCACCATTTGGCAGCCAGCAGCTTACAACTAAAAATACACGTTGCTTTAAAAGTCGTCATCTTGTAACAGAGGCGAGGAAAACAAATAGAGATGTTCTTTCATATTTGCCACAAACCAACATGGATTAGAGTACGTAGAAGATACATCACACTAAATGTGTAGACTCTCAGATCATTTCTCACCAGCCAGTCATGAACGATAAGTTTCTGTCCTATTGTCATTGCATATCATCACAGTGAGTCACTGTTTGACTTTGAGTTGGTACAGAATACTTTGGAACGCATGTCACCCAACATACTTAGTATGTTTTTTCTAACCCAACCTAATTCTTATGCATTGTGTTTAATTACTTGAGCAACCCCATGAAATGATTTGACAAGTACAGATCTATTTTCTATCTCAACCTAAGGCTAATAGGAATACCTGCCACAAAACTCAGCTTAGATTGTGGTTCAACTCGGGATATGTTTGAAATAGCGTGCTAGTTTACTATTATAATACAGTATGCCTACTGTGCACAATATGCAAACTTTCTATTTATACAATATGACCCACAACTGTAGGCTTACAGTGCTGAATACTATACTGCGCTTGATTATACTTCCTTTTCCAGTACTGGCAATGATCTGGATGATATATCAGATATCTAATCTCTTTTTGAGTCTTGTCTTAGTACCAAAATAAGACCTTTACACAAATACAAATTTTAAAGTAGGCCCTTTGTGATAAGTTTATTTGCATGCTACAGTTAATTGACGTTAATTGTTAAAACGTTAATTGTTCCATAATGCCTACCGTTTCACTTACTACGATTAAAAGTTAGGCTAGAGTGTATACCATGCAGTGGAAAAGGAATACTCAGAGAATAGGAAGATATAATGTATCTGGTTACAGATGAATTATATTTCCAGTCTTTAGGCAACTTTAATGTTGCCTAGTTGGCAAGACTAGTAATCCGAACTGTAACATGAGCACCATGGAGGAAGTTATCAAGATCCTCTCATTCTTTGGTCTTGCAGAGCAGGCTGTAGTAACTGGCACTTATCCAATACACACCATGATGAGTCTCTGTTTGTTGTATGACACACCTGATCTAGGTCAAGGGTCAGTTCCTGACGGTTTTATTATTCACAAAGGCGGACCAGAATGACCGTCACGGTCAATACTAATGTTTTATTAATGCTAGCTTTTAAAAAAACCAACAGAAAGATCCTTTATTTTGGCAGCTGCGGCCAGCCTTATTCTACCGACGCGCGCGTGGAGTCTCCGCGTCTCTCGAGCCCCGCGGCGCGGCTGAATCTGCATACAGTTAATGGAAAATTTTCACTTCTTTGTCCGTGGAAGCAGGACCCGCGGAAAGAAATTGAATAACACAAAGGCCTCAAACTGGTTACCAGCCGTAAATAGATCAAACAGGTCATTCAGCCGCGAACTCGCTCGGTGTAATTAATCAGAATTGCATAATATTCATACATGATGAGATGAGGTGAAAAGGCTGCGATTAGCATACAAACTGCCTTTGTTTTTCAAGCCGGGGGCGCATTGACTAAAAAGAGCCGGTATTATTTAACATTTATAGATCATTTAGAACTCATAAACACAATAAAATGTGAAAAAGAAAATGCCAACAAGATTTATATGATTAAGCCTGTAAACTATACCTCACACTCCACTCTATCTAAACATTAGATTATTGAGAGGCGACCGCGGTTTATAATGCAAAGCAAAGGGCGTTTCCTAATAAATAAGGTGCTGACGGGGGATTGATCCGAGCACAGATCTATTCACACAGTAGTTTACACAGCTGTCATTAATTCAACCCCCTGTGACCCTCATTACAGATAGCCTAGCGAAGCCATCGAGAGAGAGAGAGAGAGAGAGAGAGAGAGAGAGAGAGAGAGAGAGAGAGAGAGAGAGAGAGAGAGAGAGAGAGAGAGAGAGAGAGAGAGAGAGAGAGAGAGCTGGAGGCAAAACCACTAGCCTACTTAACTTCACTTCAATAAATATTTATTTATTAGTAGCTTATTGTTTAATTTTTATTTGGGGGTGATCATTACATGTCCACATAGCCTACATAAATTAAAGTGGTTAATATTTATTTCGAGTTTATTTATTTTTGTACTCAAGTTTGATTAGCCTGATTATGAAAGACAATTGTGATCAAAAATAAAGAAATGTATTTGTTTAATATAACTTCCATTTAAGTAGGTGACAAAAAAATAATAATAATGACATTATTGAAGGATTATTAAGAGTCATTAAAACACATACATTTGGGTGATAAATATTTATTTCTTAGATTTAATTATTATTATTTACTATTAATTTACCTCAAATGTTACTATACTATACAATACAAATTTGATTAATAATATTACCCAAAATTTCTGATTATTTAATTTTAGTCTTATTAATAAAAAAATCCTGTTCTACCATTTTTAAAAACAAATACATTTGAGCGATAAATCATTTATTTAGCACTCAAATAAATAAGTAAACATTTTTAGTATTTATTCTGTAATAATTGTAACTTGCAAAGTGCTTTACAAATGAATAAAAAATGTTAATGCAATAAATAATTAATACTCTGAATACAAATGAAGTCCTTAAAAGCTGAGAGGTGTGTTTTAACATGTAGTTGACATGTCTAATAAAACCTGGTGGTGAAGTCCAGAGTTCGGAAGAAAAAAGTAGATGTAACGAAGAAAAACAAGAAGGATTTCCAGTTTAAGGCTGTGAAAACAAGCCTGTACAATCTATTAAACTCGTTCATTGAATCCTAGGCGTGCGTTCGGGTCTTTAGACTTGCTTTAATGGAATTTCCAAGGCCTTCAAACTGGGTCAAAGGTCACTTGCTCTGCTGCTGGTTTGAGAAGGGTGAGACCACTGACGCTGATGGATAAGCGCTGCTCGAGCGTTAGTTACGCAACACTGAAGCGCAGTTCACTTCGCCCGAGCGTTTGTGCAGCATCGCTTCTCATGTCTTAAATCAAAGTGTCTGCCATGTCCCAGAAATAACACAATGGAATGAAATACGGGACGCTGATGTTTAAATATAACCGGCTCTGAAGCTGCTGTACTTGTGAAAGGGTGATAGCTCTCAGGTATTATTTTTAATGCTGCTGCTGCAGTGTTGATCGTCTCAACAATGGAAAAACAGGCCTCAGCAATATTGGGAGAAACGTCCATGCTTGACTTTTCACATCCAAACAGTATTTTAACTGAACTGTGACCCTCATGCATCATGTCCAGAACAGTATTGATTAGAAAAAGGGGTTGAAGCCTTTAATTACAGACATGGGTTGCAAAAGAAGATCTGGCTAGTTTTAGCAGTTAGTTCACATTTAAGTAGATTTTACAACGCTGTTAAACTCTAAATCAGCTTCAGTGCTGTCAATTGGAGACTCAGCATTATTCTTTGAGAAAGCTGTAATCGGCCTAACTGGAAATTGCGCACATACATTTACAACATTTAAACTTAAAAAAAGGAAAAAATAAAAAAATAATAATAATAATAATAAAATATATATATATAACTATCTCTATGTAGGCTTCTATATATTTTTCATTTGATATTATTAGTAATACTACTATTTTTTTTATTATATTATACTATTTTTATTGTCTCTGCATTTTATATGCAATGTTTCTCTATTGGTTAAGCCTCAGTCAAAACGGTTTACACGTACCTAATGCAACCACAAAGACAAAATACACTCTTAAAGTAAAATGATCAAACGCTCATCTAAGGAACAGCTTGTTTTATAGGCGGTGGAAAAACATGTTGTAAAAGTGGAAATTAGGCACAAGTGAACTTCATGATCTCATTACCTAAATGTTTCAGGGGATGAAGCGCACTTAACGGGGCAAGAACAATTTTATAGAACAAGTTTTAAAGCTCTTTTGAAATGAAAAGCGGCTTAACATACCGAATGTGATCTCATTAGTAGGTATTTGTATACATATACATACACTGATATTATATACATACCATGAAGTTTTACTGTAATTTTGTCATGCACTCAGTTTTTTAAACTAATGTGAAGGATTGTAGGTGAACCATGTAAAGTTCAACATGTGTAACTCATTCCCTGTTTTTCCAACCTCAGATCTTTCAGCGTTCTCTGGAATGCAGTCGAGTTTCCCCCCTACGAGGCTTGGGAATGCCGGGGGAGGGGGAGGCGCCTTTCCTTCTTCACATTCACATGGACCCTTCACTGGAAACCAAGCCTTAGGTCATTCGGGATGGTAACCATGGCAACCGCCACCCATCTGATCACCCAAAAGAGATGTGGATAGCATTGTGAACACATGTGTACATAAACTTACTAGACTTCACTATTTAAACCAGGCTATTTTTAGCCTGAGGTTTCACGCTTCAACGTCTCGCTCACTCACACGGATCCTCCGCGTTCATTATTTAAGTAATTATTAACTCTTGGCTCTGGTTACTCACCTTCATGCATGAAACGGGGCTCATTGTGTTCTTGGTAAGATTCGGGTGAAATTAACCCAACACGGTTGAATAACAAGTTAGGCTGTGCTGCCTTTTTTATATCAAATGTTTTTGAATATTGAATATATTACACACGTTCTAAACATTTTTCTGATCAGCACTGTATTCTTGTTATAATAGTACTAGACAAATAGCCCGGCTGAGGTAACAGACAAGTTTGGGTCATATTTCACCTCAAAATGTTAAAAAAGTATATATTTACATACAGAAAATGAAGGCTGGTTTTAGGATGTTTTGGTTTTAGGATGTAGGATTATTTTAAGGGCAATTAAAACACATTTCCCCTCCAAATTCTCATTACCGTAATGCAAAAAGTCATTACCATAGTGGAAAAAAACAAGAATGTATTATTAAAAAAAATACTTAAATCTTGGACAAATTACGGCAAGGTGTAAATGTGTTCATAATTGTCATAAAATAATGTTGCAATGCAAAATTAGAACCAAATAAGAAATTATATTTAGCTTGAAGACACTGAAGCCTGTTTTTAGCTTGTTTGCATTGATATTTTCAAGGCAATTAAAGCAGATTTCCCCTTCAAATTCTCATTACCGTACTGCAAAAAAGTGGTTACCATAATGAAAAAGAAGAAGAATACATTCTTTGAATTATAAAAATGAGAAAATATACGTGGATGCTGATTTAAAAAATAAATACTTAAGTCTGGACAAATTGCGGTAATGATGAAAAAATGTCTTAATTGTAATTAAATAAATGATACAATGCATAACAAAAATTCTTAAAGGTCCTAAAATAAGCTTTATTTTCTTTATCCATATTAGTAGTTTTCACTCAACTTTGGAATGTGTAGTTTACAATGTGAATAACAGGTGGTTAAACTACTAAAGCGGTGGATTCTTTCCTTAATGGTTTTGTGCCAATGGTTCAACTTTTTCAGCTCTTTTCAAGGTGAAAAAAAACCTAACAAACGTCTTAAATGTTGCTGTACATGTAGCCTTGATTGTTCTTTTGTGAAGTATATTGTATTTTTTTAAGTAGATTTTGCACATTGTATTAAGACGCTGTCCTTCTCACTGTTGAACGGTCATCTACACTCATAAGGGTGTTTTTCTTAAACGTAAGAATGTGTTGCCTGAGGCCAAAGAAAGCAGCACAGATAGAGACATGTTACCAGCTAAATGTTGCGTTTGCAAACAGTTTTGTATTGAAATATGTTGTGAAATGTCTTAATTTGTGTACAATTTTTTGATAACACTTTTACTTGTTGTTTGTTTTGGACATTTAATGCCAAATATTGTTTCTAGCATCTGTCAGTGTGTGTTAAAGACTTTTTAAAATAAAATGTCTGTGAAAATGCCAAGCAAGCCTTCTTATTGTAGCACCAGGATTGGATTTTTTTTGGATTAGCATGACTATGATCTGCTGACTGACAAGGAATGTCTCTCACCTTTCATAACTCGCTAGATGCACTGGAATTTTGAAATTGTCAGTCACACCCAGTTGATTTCAACCACAGCGATTTAATTTCTGCACACAACCTTTACGACCTCACGTTGCTATTTTCGCTCCGAGATGGTCGTCTTCAGACACGACTCTTGAAAGGGTGTGGGGGTACATGTCATGGCACCAACCTCATTCCACTCATTCCTGGGCAGGTGTGATTGGTGGAAATGCCAACGTATGGCACGAGACTCCAGACTGCGTTCCTTTGCCAACACTGTCTGGCTGTTGAAAGAAAGAGACAAATAAATTGAAGCAGGGATAACATGGATTGTATTAATGTAGGGTAACATTTCTCTCAAACGAACTGTTGAGAAACTAACCTGATGTCCTTATGAGTCATCCAGAAGTCACTTCAGAGGGTTGTAGGACCACTAACCAAATATCAACGCCTTGTTCTCAAGGCAGATAACTAAAGTGCCCCATTATGCTTTTTCACACATTACGTTTCATGTAGTGTGTAAAATAGCTGTTTGTGAATTCTGTAAGTTGTCAGTAATTCCAGTCCTCCAGCACAAACCAATGTAGGTTTGTAACAAATTGGCATAATCGTGTTGGCTGCCTGTGAACATCTACTTTGACCCTCAAACACTGAGACTGGAGGTTTGGTTTATGTTGTCAACTTGTCAAGAAGACACTGTTTTCTGCGCCATGAAAGCAAATTTTCATTGTATCACTTCCAAAGAATGATGACCCAAGCGTGAATTGATACGTCATCGTTACTGTTCGTATCACTGTCTATCAAGATCTGAGGAAGACGCGTCTATCTGAAGACGTGAAATCCAGATATGGCAATGGTAAAACACTTATGGTAATGCTTCGTTTCCGACATGCGATGTAAGCGGAAATGCGATGTGACCGATCTGACCGATCAGAGAAGAGTAGACCAATCACAACAGGCTGGACCATCTGACCAATCAGAGAAGAGTAGACCAATCACAACAGGTTGGACCATCTGACCAATCAGAAGAGTAGACCAATCACAACAGACTGGGCCATCTGACCAATCAGAGAAGACTTACCCAATCACAGCAGACTTGTCTACTCTTCTCTGATTGGTCAGATGGTTCAATCACAACAGACTGGACCATCTGACCAATCAGAGAAGAGTTAACCAATCACAGCAGACTGAATCATCTGACCAATCAGAGAAGAGTAGACCAATCAGAGCAGACTGGGCCATCTGACCAGCAGAGTAGGTCACAAAAGAAGGGGTTTAGGAAGATCATTAATCAAGCCGTTTCAGACACTGTAAGAAAAGAGGTGATGCAGCAACATATATTTTAAGAAAATTAAATACATTTTTTGTACTTGGATGCATGTAAACCAATTGCAGGAGACCTCCAAAACAAAATTAGGAGCCTTTAATATAGCATAACAGGGTGACTAAGACATCAACATTAATGAAATCAAACATTCCTCTACCAATTCAGTCATTTCCAAACCAAATCCATGGCTGAGCTCCAGGAGACTGATTGAAAAAGACATTGATACCGAAAGTAAGAGCTGGCCTGATGCCCGCCAGACGCTGTTGAATAAGTTATGCACGCGGAGGTCAAAAGTCACGGCTCCGTGCACTAATAGAGCCGATCAGAGATGCCAGATGGGAGAAATCCCTAAAAGCAGCTGGGCACGCTCCCATGGGGAAGAAAACTGAGTTTTCCAGACAGATGTCTTCGAAAAATTATTTTGCAACCACTGAAGCCTTCGCAATAAATAGGATGACAGTTTAATCTAGCAAAGTTCCTTTGAAGTTTGAAGGTTATGGAGGCCTTAGGTAATTTACTTTAAGATTGGCACACCTGGTAAAAATGAACAAAATATGCTTTGAAAATATTCTTTACTGTGTATCCTCTTAGTTTTAGTTGGCAAAGAGGTTTACATAGGTAAAAAGTTGTATGATATTAATCATTTAATTTACTTGAAATGATCTTGCATTGCTGACAGAGTAGCTGTGGTGAATGACTGGAAAAACGGCGGCAAAAACAAACTTCATTCATCGCCAGCAACGTATTCCAGCTGAGCTCGTTGACCCGCTAAAGGCTTCAGGTGTGAGCGCAGATGGGGAACAGCGTCTGAATGAATGTGGCGAGAAACACAAAAAGGCACGGGATACGAGACATCTTCCTTTCAAAGGGATCTTGGCAGGGTGTGTGTGCGCCAGCCTGTTTTTGTAAGACTGCTCAAAAGCACCATTGTCATGCAAAATCCAAAACCGACAAACTCAAAAAGATTCTGCCGCCGACGCAATTAATGCAGCGCGCATAAGTAGACGCTTGAATCTTGGCAGAAGACAAAAGGACTATCCAACAGGGTCTGGAAAGGAAGAACCGCCACAGCGTGGACTGAAAGAAGGGGCGGTTGGCGTAGGCGGATTCAGTGAGCGTAGTTGGTTAATGCTTGTAACCCTGAGCAGAAAGAGCGCAATAGGGTGGAACGGACGCTGGGGACAGTGGCAGGGGTCGGGTGCCCCCCCTTTACCTAAATACTGGCGTGTGTCTGCCAGGCGGATGCGTGCAGCTGGGGGCCGCCAGGAACACAAACATCCCGCATTAGAGGAAAAACAGCTTCCAATGGTCGCCCCCCATGGGGATTTTACCTCCAGGGTCCGGGCCAGAAGCGTCCTTTCCAACCGTCCACCTCCTGTAATTGCAACTAAATCAATGCACTAACGAAAATGTTATTTTGCCCTGAAGGAACCTCCTGCAAAGCACATCTTGTTTAATATGTATAGAAAAATGTTGGATCCTCAGGCACCGTTCAAGATGAGGTTTATTTCCCAACCAAACACAGCAACTCCCATTTCTTAAGAAATTTAAGAAATGTGTTGTTGCCGACACTGCCAGACAAGTCAAAGCAAAGCGTACGTGAAAAGCGGCCACAGAAATACGCAGTTCAGGTCGTCTTAGACCACAGGCAGCTCAAAGTGCTGATGTGTAGGTGCGTCTGTGGCGTCTGGGTGCAGGTAATTTCCTTCAGCCGAGTCGAGATGTGATCCGTCAGGAACGTTAATGGTTCTAGTGGTTCCTCAAAGTCCTGCGGTTTAACTGGGAGCCACCACACTATGGCATAACCAGCATTTAATCAGACCTCAAGGTGTGTTAAGCAACATTGAGAAGCTTACTGAGATGATATATGAAATGATCACCTTGACAAAAATGTGTTTCATAACTTCGTTAGAAATATTGGTAAATACACACCTTGATTTTAGCTTGAAAAAGCCTTAGACAAACAGATAGACAGAGATAGCCTAGATAGACAGACAGACAGACAGACAAACAGACAGATAGATGACAGACAGACAGATAGATAGATGACAGACAGACAGAGAGATAGATGACAGACAGAGAGACAGACAGACAAAGACAGACAGACAGACAGAGGGACGGAGAGACAGACAGATAGACAGACAGACAGACAGACAGATAGATAGATAGATGATAGAGACAAATAGATAGACAGACAGACAGACAGATAGATAGATAGATAGATAGATAGATAGATAGATAGATAGATAGATAGATAGATAGATAGATAGATAGATAGATAGATAGATAGATAGATAGATAGATAGATAGATAGATAAATAGATAGATAGATAGATGACAGACAGAGAGACAGACAGACAGACAGACAGACAGAGGGACGGAGAGATAGATGACAGACAG